GAGTATACTAAAGACTTCCTTAATATATTGGGTATACTAGAGACTTCCTTAGTATACTAGATATACTAGAGACTTCCTTAATAAACTAGGCTAGTAGAAAAGTCGATCTTATATTATAATATAAGAGACTCCTCGATAGTCTTCCTCTCTCGATATCTCTTCTTTTTTTTTTATATTTCGATAATCTTTCCCTTCTCTTTAGTTTATTATATTAATATAATAGACTCCTCGATATCTCTTCTCTTCTTTTTCTATTCAATAATCTTTCCCTTCTTCTTAGTTTATTATATTAATATAATAGACTTCTCGATAGTCTTCTACTTTAATTATTATTCTTTTTTTTCTTTTTATTTCTTTCTTTACTTTACTTTCTATCGAACTTTACTTATATAAGTAAATTAGCTTAAATATTATCTTTAATATTATTACTTTTTCTCGCTAGAAAATATTATATAATATTCTTTTTTACAAGATATCTTATAAATAAAAGTAATTATTATACTAAATATATTAAACTCTTTCTTTCGTAATAATAAACTTCTCTTATTATTTTAGATAAATTATTATAATATACTTTTAGTAATAAAGATTATAAAATTTATTTAAAGTCTCTTAATATTAAATTATTTATATAACTAATAGACTTACGTATACTAATAGATTTAGCGCTTAGCTTTATTGTATTTTATTTACTTAATATTATTTCTATTACCCTTCGAAACTTTTCTTTTATATATATAGTATCTCTTTTTAAATATATTGTTCTTCTCTCGATCCTTTAATTCTTAAAGCTTTTTATTATTTAAAGTTTAAAAGACATCTTTAAATTTCTAAGATAGTTAAAGTTACTAAGGTATCCCTTAATAATATTAAGTATATCGCTAAAGTAGTAAGTTTTAATTATAGATAGACCTTAATAATAAAAGACTAATTTCGATTTAATAGACTTATATCCTAGTGTAAAGATATATTAATAGCTTTAAAGATAAGGATAAAGATCTAGCGAAGAAAAGAACGCGAGAGACTATTGTACTCTATAACTATTCTCTCTCTATATTTAATAGAATAGATCGCTAATAAAGATACTAAATTATTTAAGATAAAAATAAAGATAACGACGACAATACTAGCGAAGATAATAAATCTATAAAATTAAGTAACTCTAATAAGAAAGATCGTAATAATAGCGAAAAGAACGAAGATATAGAACTAAGTAGCTTCGACGAGGAAGATAATATCGACAATATAGATAACTTTAAAAATAATATTTATATTACTATAAAAATAAAGAGAGTCTCGATTACTTAAAGTAAAAAAACCTTAATAGTAATAAAGTAAACTTATTTAGTTACTAAGAAATTATCTACTAAAGAATATAAGTATTGTAGAGATAATACTAACGATAATATTAATAACGATATTAATAAACAATATAAAATAATTAATAATTACTATAATAGTAAAATTAAAGGTAAAGTCTTTAAAACTAATAAACTCTTTAAAAGTAAGTAAGCCCTAGTTATTAAATTAAATATAATTATCCTTATATTAAACTAGTAAATATATTAATATATAGTCCTTTAGATATTATTAAGGATTTAGAAGTAAAGGAGTATATTAAGAGAGTAGCTAATTTTAATAGTATAAGGCTATAGCTCTTATATAAATTAAACGAACTATACCTATATTCTCTACAATATATAAAGTAGTTCTCGTCGAATTTAAATTCTTTATCTACTACTTATATAAGATCTCTTCGTCTAAATTCCCTTTTTAAATTTATATTTATAGGTTACTTAAAATATCTCCTCTATTTTTATAATCTATAGTAATTAACTACTTATTACTATAATTTATTTCTTCTCTAGTATTAATTTTATTATTAGTATTTATTTTTTTATTAGTATTAATTTAATCTTTCTATTTTATTTTATTATTAAGAATAATTTTATTATAAAGCTAAGTATTATATTCTCTTGTAGTATCGATAGATTTAGATTTCTTATTATTACTAAATATAATCTCTCTAAAAATAATATTTAATCTTAATAGCTATATAAATATTAAAAGTATTAATATATATTATATAATCCTATCTTATATCGAGCTTAGTACTTTAATCTTCTCGTCTTCTTTATTTAGGAACTATTCGCTTCTAGTTCGCTTCTAGTAACTTAGTATTATACTTTTACTTTAATATTCGTTATACTTAGTATTATTATAATAGAGAATTATATTCATATAAATTTAATAATACTTATACTTAAGAAGGTAAATTATAGAACTAAAATAATTAGAAAGTAAACCTTTAAAGTATAGATTATAATATATAAGATAGATTATCTATCGCTTTTAAGTTACACTATAATTTTATCTTATTATAGAGTTTAGTATTTTAGTAGCTACGGCTCTTTAAGCGTTACTAATAATTTTATAAAGCGCGCGAATTTAAAAGAATATATCTAGATAATATCTCGATTAAAACTATAAAACTAAGATAATTAGAATATAAAGTAATAGTCGTTAATAGTAGAAGAGAGAGAAGAATAATAATAATTAATTAATAAGCGAATTTAGACGTACGCGAAAAGTAAGTCTACTATATTAATATACTCTATTAAATATTTTACTATTTAGTTTTCTACTTTACTATTTAATTTATAAAGATTCTAAATTATTTATATATTTCTATCTCTTACTAAAATATATAATATACTCTTTTAAGTATTAATTAAGTTCTCTAACTATAGCTCACGTCGAGTTAAAGACGAAATATATTATTTATATATTTTAGGCGTTATTTATAGATTATCTTAATTAACTTAAATAATAGTCTTCTACTCTCGTTAAAATAAAGTCTAAGACTTTTACTCTTATTAAGATAAAGTCTAAGACTTTTACTTCTATTAAAATAAAGTCTACGACTTTTATCTTTAAGTCCTTTACTATATAAAAACTTAAGTCTTTTACTTTAGATAAGTCTAAAACTAGCTTAACTAAAACTAAAGCGAGCGATACTATAGAGACTTATTCTTTTAAAAGCGTATTAATTAATATCTTTTACCTTTAGTTATAAATATTAAATATCGTCGTAAAAAGATTAATATCGACTTTAATTTCAATATTAATTCTAAAGAAATAGAAGCGATTAATAAAAGTAATACTAATAATAAGATTATTAACTTTTTATCTAATAAAGATAAATACTCTATTACTATAGAGTTTATTACAATTAAGAAGGTAATTTATTATTACTTTAAAAATATAGTTTAAGCTTAAAAGTATATTATTAAACTAAAAGCGAAGTAGACGATAGCTTTAAAGAAGGAGAAGTAAGAATATCGTAAAAAGTAAAAGTAAGAATATTGTAAGAAGTCTAAGCTTTCCCCTAAAGATAAGAAATTTAAGAAAGCTTAAGTTAAAATAAGGATAATATAAAGCTAGATAATACAAGTTTAGTAAATTTAAGATATAAGTTATTTAGATAATAAGATTATATTTTCTCGAGCTAGATATTAAGTCTTTTAGGACGAAAGGATAAATATATATCTTTTAGTGTAATTTTAGTTACCTAAAATATTATAAAGCTTATTTAGATTAATAATTATAAAATAGTTATCTATATTTCTACTCTATATATAAGATAGTAGTCTCCTTATAAATCTCTATAAGAGATATATTCTCGCTTAACCTTAAATACTCTTTAGACTCTTTTACTAAGCTAGCTTTAGGGATAATAATAGAAGTATTAAGTTATCTCGATATATTTCTCTCTCTTAGTTTACTATATTAATATAGTAGACTCCTCGATATACTTCTCTCTCTTAGTCTACTATACTAATATAGTAGATTTCTTAATATACTTCTCTCTTTTAGTTTACTATATTAGTATACTTAGTAAGTTAAGACGGTCGAGGTATTGCTTCTACCCGTATAACTCGGCTTAGGGAATAGAAAAATCTCCCCGTTTTTCGATCTTTTATCGACTCTAATGGCCTTTAGGAAGGCTTAGCTATCCGTTAAACTCTTTTGTAACCTTGTCTGATTGATATTCAACATCGACGCAATATATTAATTTCGGACGACAAGGGAGTTCCTTAGTATACCGGGTATGCCAGAGACTTCCTTAGTATACCGGGTATGCCAGAGACTTCCTTAGTATACCGGGTATGCCAGAGACTTCCTTAGTATACCGGGTATGCTAGAGACTTCCTTAGTATACCGGGTATACTAGAGACTTCCTTAGTAAACTGGGCTAGTAGGAAAGTCGATCTTATATTATAATATAAGAGACTCCTCGATAGTCTTCCTCCCTCGATATCCCTCCTTTTCTTTTTATATTTCGATAATCTTCCCCTTCTCCCTAGTTTATTATATTAATATGATAGACTCCTCGATATCCCTCCTCTTCTTTTTCTATTCGATAATCTTTCCCTTCTCCTTGGTTTATTATATTAATATAATGGACTCCTCGATAGTCTTCTACCTTAATCATTGTTCTCTTCTTTCCCTTCGCTCCTTTCTCTGCTCTACTTTCTACCGAACTTCACTTGTATAAGTAAATTAGCCTGAATATTATCTTTAGCATTATTGCTTCCCCTCGCTAGGAAATATCGTGCGATATCCTTCCTTACGAGGTATCTCGTAAATAAGAGTAATTATTGTACTAGACGTATTAAACTCTTCCTTTCGTGACGATAAACTTCTCTCGCTACCCTGGATAGATCGTTGTAATGCGCTTCTAGTAATAGAGGCTATAAGATTTGCCTAAAGTCCCTCGACGTTAAATTGTCTACGTGACCAACGGACTTGCGTATACTGATAGGCTTAGCGCTCGGCTCTACTATATTTTGTTTACCTAATATTATTCCTATCACCCCCCGAAACTTTTCTTTTGTATGTACAGTATCTCTTTCTAAACACATCGTTCTTCTCTCGGTCCTCTAATTCTCAAAGCTTCCTATCATTCAAAGTTCGAAAGGCGTCTTTAGGTTCCTAAGATGGCTAAAGCCGCTAAGGTATCCCTTGACGATATTAAGTATGCCGCCGAAGCAGTGAGTTCTAATTATAGATGGGCCTTAGTGACGGAAGACTAATTTCGATCCGATAGGCTTATATCCTAGCGTAGGGATACGTCGATAGCTTTAAAGGCAAGGACAAGGACCTAGCGAAGAAGAGAGCGCGGGAGGCTATCGTACCCTATAACTACCCTCTCTCTATATCTAGCAGAATAGACCGCTAATAAAGGCACTAAGTCATTCGAGACAAGAACAAAGATAACGGCGACGATACTGGCGAAGATAACGAATCTATAGAACTGAGTAGCTCCGACGAGGAAGATCGTGATAGTGACGAAGAGGACGAAGATATAGAACTGAGTAGCTCCGACGAGGAAGACGATACCGACGATACAGATGACTCCGAGGATAGTGTTTACGTTACCACAAAGACGAAGAGAGTCTCGGTCACCCGAAGCAAGAAAACCCCAGCGGCAACAAAGCAGGCTCGTCCAGTCACCAAGAAGTCGTCTGCCAAAGAACGTAAGCGTCGTAGGGATAATACTGACGACGACACCAATAGCGACATCAACAAACGACGTAAGGCAACTGGCAACCACCGTAGCAGCAGGACCAAGGGCAGAGTCTTCAAGGCCGGCAAACTCTCCAAGAGCAAGTGAGCCCTAGCCGTTGGGTTAAATACGACCGTCCTTATGCCAGGCCAGTAGACACGTTAACACACAGCCCTTCAGATATTATTAAGGACTTAGGAGTAGGGGAGTACGTCGAGAGAGTAGCTAGTTTTGATAGCACAAGGCTATAGCTCTTGCATAAATTAAACGAACTATACCTATATTCTCCACGACGTATAAAGTAGTTCTCGTCGGATCTAAATTCTTTATCTACTACTCAGGTAAGATCTCTCCGTCCGGATTCCCTTTTTGAATTCGTACTTATAGGTTACTCGAAATGTCTCCTCTATTCTTACAATCTACGGTGACCGACTGCTCGCTACTGCAATCTACCTTTTCCTTAGCATTGGTCCCGTTATTAGTATCCGTTTTCTCGTTAGTATCGGTCTAACCTCCCTATCTTATCTTATCGTTAAGGACGATCTCATTATAAAGCTGGGTATCGTATCCTCTCGTGGTGCCGATAGATTCAGATTCCTCGTCGTTACTAAACGTGATCCCTCCAAAAATGGCGCCTAACCTCGGCGGCTACACAAGTGTTGGAAGCATCGGTGTATATTGTGCGATCCCGTCTCGTACCGGGCTCAGTGCTCTGGTCTCCTCGTCTTCCCTATTCGGGAACCATTCGCTTCTAGTTCGCTCCTGGTGACCTGGTATCGTGCTTTTGCTTTGATGTTCGCTATACTTGGTGTCGTCGCGGTAGGGGATTACGTCCGCGCAGGCCTGATAGTGCCCGTGCTTAAGGAGACGGATTATAGAACTAGAATAGTTAGAAAGCGGACCCTTGAAGTATGGATTGCAACGTATAAGATAGGTTGTCTATCGCTTTTGAGCTACGCTACAGTTCTGTCTCGTTATAGAGTCTAGTATTCTAGTAGCCGCGGCTCTCCGGGCATCACTAGCAATCCTATAAGGCGCGCGAATTCAAAAGAATATATCTAGGTAATGTCTCGGTCGAGACCGCGAAGCCGAGATGATCGGGACATAAAGCAATGGCCGTTGATAGTGGAAGGGAGAGGAGAATAATGATAGTTGGCTAGTGAGCGAATTTGGGCGTGCGCGAAAAGTGAGCCTACTATACCAGTATGCCCTGCCAAGCATTTCACCATTCGGTTTCCCACCCTACCGCTCAATTTACGGAGATCCCAAATTGTTTACGTATTTCCATCTCTCGCCAAAATATACGATACGCTCCCCTAAGCATCAATCAAGTTCTCTAACTATGGCCCGCGCCGAGTTAAAGGCGAAGTATATTGTTCGTGCGTCCTAGGCGTTATTTATGGATTATCTCGACTAACTTGAACAATAGTCTCTTACTCCCGTTAAGATAAAGTCTAAGACTCCCACTCTTGTTAAGATGAAGTCTAAGACTTCTACTCCCATCAAGATGAAGTCCACGACTCTTACCTCTAAGTCCCCCACTACGCAAAAACTTAAGTCTTCTACCCCGGATAAGTCTAAGACTAGCTCGGCCAAAACCAAAGCGAGCGGTACTATAGAGACCCGTCCTTTTGAAAGCGTGTTGACTAATATCTTTTGCCTCTAGTTGTAGATATCAAACGTCGTCGTGAAAAGGTTGATATCAACTCCGACTCCGACACCGATTCCGAAGAAGTAGAAGCGACTAGTAAAAGTGACACTAGTAACGAGACCATCGACTCCTTATCTAATGAGGATAAACACTCTATTGCTACGGAGCTTGCTATAGCTAAGGAGGTGGTCCATTATTACTTCGAAAATATAGCCTAAGCCTAAAAGCGTATTGTCAAACTGGAGGCGAAGTAGGCGGTAGCTTTGAAGAAGGAGAAGCAAGAACGTCGTAAGAAGTAGAAGCAAGAACGTCGCAAGAAGTCCAAGCTTTCCCCTAAAGGCAAGAAGTCTAAGAAGGCTTGAGTCAAGATAAGGATGACACAAAGCTAGATGATACGAGCCTGGTGAATTCAAGATACGGGTTATTCAGATGATAAGGTCACATTTCCTCGAGCTAGGCATCAAGTCTTTTGGGACGAAGGGATAAACGCGTATCTCTTGGTGTAATTTCAGTCACCTAGAATGCCATAGGGCTTATTCAGATCAATGATTGCAAAACAGTTATCTATATTCCCGCTCTGTGTGTAAGATAGTGGTCTCCTTGTAGATCCCCGTAAGGGACGTATTCCCGCTTAACCCCAAACACTCCTTGGACTCTCTTACTAAGCTGGCTTTAGGGACGATGGTAGAAGTACCGGGCCGCCTCGATATGCTTCCCTCTCTTGGTCCACCATACTAACATAGCAGACTCCTCGACATACTTCCCTCTCCCGGTCCACCATACTAATATAGCAGACTCCCCGATATACTTCCCTCTCCTAGTTCACTATACTAGTATGCCTAGTAAGTCAAGACGGTCGAGGCGTTACCCTGGGATAACGGTGACTTGTTCCATTTCGTAGAGGAAAACGACCTCGGTAGGAAGCAGGCCAGAAGGTTGAGGAAATACCATTTTAGATAGATCAATATAATAAAATACCTTGAACGCAAGGCCTTGCTGTTGTAGACAGTGCCTTAGAATGCAAATATAGGCGCAGCCTCGCCGCGTGACGCGCCGAGCATTCATCGACGTCTTTGGAATACAAGTGCTATCTACTCGAAAGGATGTGATCCTACAATAGAAATGGATCTCTTGGTGCTTCTTCTCCTCGTTTCCCGTGTCCGTGCCACAATGATCCAACCGTGCAGGAAGCTCAGTACCGTCGGCACCGTACCCGATAGTACGTTCATCGTAGCAGGCGGAGTACTACCAAAAACCCTTCGCTAGACGACAGTACGCGTCAGTTAATGGCCAGTTATACTTCACGTCCATATAGACCCCGCTGGCCGACCGCTTATCGGCTACGTAGTTCAACAGGGCGGGTAGAATGCGGTCGGCGACTATTTTCATTGCGATAGGAGCTTGGCGCTGGCAGAAGTAGGTCATTCTCTGCAAATCATGGAGTGTGAAGATAGACCGAGGCTAGACATGGCACCGCTTAGCTTCTTAGACTGCCTACCCTAGCTTGCGGGCCAGGTGGTACGCTCGTTGTACCGCCGGGACGAGGCACTCCTTGTGGTGGGCTTCACCCGTAGCGAAGCAGGGCAGAGACTCAGAGGTGCCAAAGTCAACCCAGATTTCGCAATTCAGAGAGAATAGTTGCTTAACAACCGACTTTTCAATATTGGATATGTCCGACACCGCCAAACGGACTTGAAAGCCTCGTCGGCCGATGCCATTAATCCACTTGACCACGGACCAGTCGACCGTATCCAAACACCAAGTTTTGCCTACCCGAGACGATAAGTACACGGCGGCGATAATCACGTGCTACGTATTTGCTAGGCCCCCGGTCAGAAGGAGATTAAGGTCTCAGAGCGATATATACAGCACGACTTTGCCAGACAGTGTGAAGAGACAGTTGTTCTACAGATAACGATCGAGTATCGGATCCGACAGCACTGCGCGGCGCCAGACCCTCCGGCGGAGTGCACCGTTAGCAAAATTTACCTGTTCGCCGCGATGGGTAGTCAAGTCATCCTGTAGATGACGGAAAATGTTTATCTATAGCTTCGTTGGTAGCTGCGGCAGCGTTTTTCGGCTTTCTAGGATCGATCGTGCCCTATCTAAGGAGGCCTGGTCGTATGTTTTTGTCTTGGCTGCCCATTTCTCGATTATGGTATTCTTGGATTCGATCTTAGGCACGAGGAAAGGAAGAGGTGAGCGCGAGGCCGACATTTTCGACGAAGGCCCTACATTGATACGCCGTTAGTGGCACGATAAATAGAAGGGCAAAGTATATACTGACCAAGAGGAAGGATAAAAAGGGTGGAATGATAGTGCCGGACGTTTAGGGCCCCAATGTAATGTTGTGGTGTCTAGAAAGGCAAGGGAAGTTGAGAAATGGGTCGCGATAGAGAAGCGTTTCAGGATACTGGGAGCTTGAAATTCAGAAGGATTTTGGGGGTTAGTATATCGGTATGCTGAAAGCGTGATTCGATCATTTGTTTACGGTGCGGCAGTAGGGCATCACTTTAGATCAATCTAGTCTTCACTACTTTTGATCAACCTATTCTCACTACTTTAGATTAACCTAGCGTTTATAGATTACCCCATTGTCTTAACAGCCATCTCCCTATCAATATTCTCCCACCAACTATCCTCCACTATCACTCGCACTACTCCTCTTATCATATCGATTGCCTCTTTCTATCTCACAGGAGCTTTTCCACCGTGACGCCACCATGGTTCCTAAATCCATTAAGGGTGGAAAGTCCAAGGTCGCCGTGAGTTATCTCCCTAGTCTAGTGGAGATAGAACACCTTGCTAACAAACTCTTTTTAGGCAGGCTCCCTTGGAGCAAAAGTTGCTAGGGGAAGAGTTCTAGGTCAGAGCACCTCTCCAGTGACTAAGACGTTAACCACTGTTATTGAACCCAATGGCGATATTAAGATAACCGTCACTAGTGAGACGAAAATCCCACTGTCCTATTGAATATAAACTAACTTCTAAACAGTGAACAAGACTAAGCGCGCCATTGTCGAGATAAGCTCCAGCTCCAGCTCCGGCTCTAGCGATAGCGACAGCGATAGCGACGCGAGGTAGGCTGTGGCTGCGGCGAAATCCACCCTAAAGTCCAGCTCTAAGAAGATCTCCACCCCAAAGTTAAGCTCTAAGAAGACTTCTACCCTAAAGTCTAGCTCCAAGAAGACCTCTACCCTAAAGTTAAGCTCTAAGAAGACTTCTATCCTAATGTCTAGCTCTAGCTCTAGCTTCGGCGATAGTGACAGCGATAGCGACAGCGATAGCGACGCGATGTAGGCTACGGCTGCGGCGAAATCCACCCTAAAGTCCAGCTCCAAGAAGACCTCCACCCTAAAGTCAAGCTCTAAGAAGACTTCTATCCTAATGTCTAGCTTCAAGAATACCTCTACCCCAAAGTTAAGCTCTAAGAAGACCTCTACCTTAAAGTCTAGCTCTAAGAAAGCTAGAATTGCTTAAGACAATGATACGCTTATGAACCTGGCCCCGCTATCTAAGAAGATTAAGAAGAACTGTACGGCTAGTTATGGCAAAGTGTATATGGCATACCTCGAATAAGCAATTTACGCCTCTATCTCTAGTAGTTGGAAATATCGTCCTTAAAGGGCCGAATGAAGAACACTAGTATTACTGAATGGTAATTTATACTAAATGGACCTCCCTAAGAAATGTAATTCCTACTTTCTGCCCGATCTATTTCCCTAAAAGCACATCACTGGGTGTATACCGAAAGCGTGCTGCATGCTGCGTACTGCATCCCTTGAAAGCAAGCATGCTTGATGCTGCGTGCTCGATGCTGCGTGCTTGGTGCTGCGTGCTTGGTGCTGTATGCAGCGACACGCGCAATGGACAAGGCAATGTGCTAAATAGAGGTAATTCGGTCGATTCTACCGGTGTCTTTCTAGATGGATTGTAGTCCCTATGCTCAGTCGGTGCTGATCATTCTGCTTGATTCGTTGCTGGCTTCTATGGCCTTCCCTCTAGCCTTCCACTGGTTCTATGGGTTGAATTTTAGCGTGCTTGCCCGATACCTTCTCTTTTAGCCTGGGGGCTTTGACTTCGCGTTTCCGCTTTTTGCGGATGCGGTCGACCTGGGCCCCGACGTGCTGAATGCCGACCCGGACCTACCGGTTTCCCGGTGGGCGCTTCTTCCCTAGAGTTGGTACTCGCTCTGCGTGTTCTTTTTTTGCTCTTGCGGGAGATGGTAGTCTCGTTGGCCCTTTCACTTCAACGTTTGGCGGTCGTAGATGACCGGGGATTTCTACGTGGAATAGATATAGTAGAAAGGGTCTTAGATTCTATGTCCGTAGATAGGTCTTCATCGGTAGCCGGGTTAGAGAGATAAAGACTGTGAAAAGACAACGCGGATGTGGATGAAGACGGAGAAAGTACCTATCGATGGCGACCTAGTAGATATTCAGTATATGATGTAGTAAAGTCGGTTGATTTATACGTGGTTAATACTTAAAGTTGATTCGAGCCTCGATGGCCGGAGACGCCGACGAAGGTCTTGTATTTAAGCCACTAGTGGACGTGCTAGACGTGCTGGAGTTATCGTTATCGTCGTCGAAGAGGGCGTTCTTCTCTGACTATTTGTGGCTTAGGTCAGTTCGCATTTCGATAGGATACTATCCTTATATGTTAATATTACTATGTTAAACTTACCGCTTAATTTCGGACCTATATTGGTATAAAGATAAAGGAATAATCACTGGCTGACTGCTAGGCCGACCGAGCCGGAAGAACCTGGTAGGCTTGGAATGATGGTATAGTAAGGTGGTTGAATGTCGAAGTGTAAACACCCCAAAGTAAAATGGCGGTTATTTGCGTAGTAGTGACGTTAAGCACAAAATCTCGTTGTTTCAAATTTCTCGTGGACGCGAAACACTTTCAACTAGAAATGGCACCATTAGTCGTACCAATCTATTAGGGCTGCCGAGTAAGTGTGTTAAGAAAATATTCGGGTATATTGGTATACGGAACAGGACAGAATCAGAGGGAAGTACGCTAAGGAGCCTATCATATTAATATGGTAGACTTAGGAGGGGAAGATTATCGACAGGGAAGACGAGAGGGGAGATTGTTAAGAGGGAAAACGAGAGGGAAGACTGTCGAGCGGGAAGACTATCGAGCGGGAAGACTATCGAGCGGGAAGATAATCCTGCCATGCTGCTTTTTTAGAAAGGTTCGACGTAATATATCAAGGTATTATATTTATCAATACACTAGAGTGAACGAACTTCAAGTTATTCCCTCTGTCACTCTCCAAATATTCGAGTCAAGTCTCTCTACACAACGATATCGTAGTCAACCACTAAATTACGATATACCCTTGCCTTCCCTTACCCTTTACCCTTGCCCTCTTTTGTTCCGTGGCAGATGCTAAGTTTATATACAACACTCAACGCGCGGTAAGGGTAACTACTGGTGGAATAGGCGTTCTTGCAGTTATATCGCGCTAACTCTTTTTTGTACTCTTGATACAAACGTTAGTGGTCCGGACCAACCGTGCGCGTAAGAAAACATACCTCCAACAATCTGCTGTACTTGGCCTGGTCCTTAGATGAGCCCCAATCCCACGGCCGCCGTCGTTCCTACCAGAGGGTCGCGAGGACACTAGCTTTGCCGACAAACTCTTTGGCCGGATCTTCGTTCGTGGTGGACGGGTATCGAAGCTTGAGCAGCGACTACCTTATGGTCTAGACTAGGTTTCTAGTGTCCCAATGTATAGTGCTAGTCATCAGGACGTCGGTGAGCGAATATAGCGCGTGGATACGACCCGGCGGGATTACGAGTGTATCTCCCGGACGTAGGAGGATTGCTATGAGGCGCTAGTTCGGACAGAGCTATTCGGATTCTACCTATGCCGCGATCTCATTATCCTCGAGGTGCGGCCACGTTAGCCAAAGCTTTTCCCCCTCGTCGTAGGTAATAACGGTGATAACCCCGTGATGGTCTATATACGGCATAGAAAAAACCCCTTTCTTCCCGCAGATCTGAAACCCCTCGCAGCTGGATAGATCCTTAGGTTCGGAATCCACCTCTTTCTCGGCGCCCTGGCTCCCCGTCACTACCTTCATCACCTGGTAGTTGGACTCTTGGGCGAAATACTAGGGCTGAGGGTTCGCTTTAAAATAGTGGAGGTTCAGGAAATTCAAGGGCATCTCCGAATCGGCACGGAAAAGTTCGATAGCCTTTGAGCCAATTATAGGCTCGGGCAGGACGTCGTTATCGCCTTCGGCCGCTCTTTCGTAGGTGTGGACGTCGATGTTTAGCTTGGTGCTGAGATAGTCGAGGTAGTTATTCAGTTGGAGTAGGTGTGGTGCATAGGTGGCCAGGTCCTTTGGAATCAGTATGGGGATCATCGGCGTACCATTCTTGAGCAGCGTATACGCGTTCTTGTCGGACGTGTACACTAGGTCGTAACTACGTGCCTCTGTATCGAAGTTTTTCGGTGTTATCGCCTGTGCCACCTTTTCGCTGTAAGGGATATATATAGGGAGGAAAGCCTTTTTTATGGCTAGCCGATAGAGGGGTAGTTCTCGCGAGAGTCGGTTACCGCTGCTATCACCAATAGTCCGTTGTAGGTTACGTAGTTGGCGATATGCCCGTTTCTGCGCGGCCCGACAAAGTTGGAGATAGTCACCCGCAAAGGCAGGCTTAGTAGTGGTGGACGCCGCGCGCTCGGAGCCAGCATTCTGACTGTCGACCTTAAGCTCGTAGATGATATCTTGGCCTAGATGGACGTGCTCGTAATATTGCTTAATATGTCTACTCAGCTGGCTCTTGATAAAACTACGTCGATATGACCGGCACCTTAGGCGTTGGCCCTTGAATTGACGTTTTAGGATTTCCGGGTATTTGCGTTAGATATAACGACTTAAATTTCGAGTGTATAAGGGTTCAGGACACCACGGACACTATTCTTTCTTCGCCATCGTAATGTAGTCGTGAGACAAAGGGATGAAGGATCTGATGGACTAAGGAAGGAGGGAAGAAGAGTGAAATTGCGATTATTATTATATTTCTTTTGTTTGTGGTGATTAAGTGGTTGGGTGGGCGGCCTACGCGACGCTACGCTAAGCCTTCCAAAAGTTTGGGGGTGCTGCTATACTAGTATAGAGAAGCTACTTTGTCATTCATTTCTACACAATCAGCTCCGCGGCAACCCACGAAATCAATATAAAGGATATCTTACGAAGTAACCATAGCTCGTTATCCCCTAGGGTAGAGGCTAATAGGCATATAAGTAGGAAAACCCACCGAAAGCGTAAGCAAGGTCCCTCACGATATTACAAGATCCAATATAACCCTCCGATACACTTAAAACATAGGACGTTAGAATAGTTAACAGCACGAATTCGTGCAATGGGAGCAAGAACAATTGAGCCCGAGGCCAGGAAGACTAAGGTCAAGAAGGCCAAGGCAGGCAAGAACAAGGCAGGAAAGAACAAGGCAGGCAAGAACAAGGCCGATAAGAACCAGGCAGATAAGAAGAAGACCTATAAGCAATAGAGCAAAAAGCCTCGATGTACTATAGGTTATATGGTTAATGGGACAGTCAATGGAAGAGAATCACAGCCAATCGTCAGATCAATTACCTCTACTCAAAAGAGTTACAATAATCGGATCAGGGCCGCCCAGAAGGAAATGCGGTCAAATTAGGTAGGATAGTACTATGGTACCGTGAATAATGATAGCCAATACAACTTGTTCCGTCCCTTAACGGGTATCGATTTATCCTTCCCTTTTAAGTATGGACGCGATAGAAGATAGTATATAACCGAGCCGTTTAATTAGTAAAGTCCCATCAGTGTTAGATTTCCCGTACCTTCCCCTTAGGAAATATACTATCGTAGAGTACGAACGCCCTATTAACCCTCTAGACCGCGAAAAAGTGTGAACCTCGACCGCGACCCGCCTAAAAAATAGTACCCTAAGTATAGTACGATATCTTAGTGTACTGACGGTGGCGGTCTATGTAGCTTAGCGTTAATGGCATAAACGGGTCGGAAGGTTAACGGTGCCGGGTTACCTTAAGATTGTCGGCAAGGTGGACGATTATAGTGGGTAGCATTCGATCGAGGACTTGTAAAATCGATATCTACGTCCGTGTACATCTATCTACATTGGAGCAACCTTCAGTGGGTCGCTAGCGAGACTGGTGAGTTTAGAATAGCTCTAAAACATAGTCGTTGGTGGCGAGGCTTGAAATGGTGATGCTTAACCGTCGGGTTGGTACCAAGGCTGCGCCGCAGCGGACCTTGTCGTCGTAGCAGTAGACTACCCGCGCGCATATATAAGAACATTGGGGCAAACCCGCTAGGAGGGTATCGATTACGCTGTGTAGGGGCAAAGGATTTGGCGTAGGTCCGAATTTGTCCGGGTCGTAGTTGTGCAGGGCGGTTCGAAGAGTGTCCCTAGCCGCCCCGCGACTCTCGATGCTAAGGTTACCCTATTTCCTTAGCGATACCCTCCGTATAACCTAACTAGGTAAGGGCAGTTCTCGTCGACGGCTTAGTGTCACCTAGTCGAGCTGTACTCTCTAGGTATCGAGTATATTCCTGGTAAAGATAAGATAGTCAATAGCGCAGAAGTTTTGCGACTAGACTGGCCCATAGAGATATCTTTTTACACTATTACCTTTACTTAAAGGGATAGTACTATCGACGTAGTTCTAAGTCGCCTAAAAATCTCGGAAGACGGAGCATTCCTTGCCCTCGATGTACTTAAACCATCTTTCGTTGGGTAGCGCGTTAACGCTACGTTTGACGGCTCGACGACCGAGCTGCTCGAGGATATATAAGGTAGTTGGGATTCGCTTACAGAGGGTCTTGATATCTAAGGCGAGGGCGGAGAGATCGATATCTAGAATATTTTTCCGTGATGCTCTGTACAACGCTTAGTTAGATATAGCCTACTCGAGGTCCCTCTAATAATTTATCGTCGCCACTTACTCTTTTTGATGGTTATTGAGCCACCAAACCGCCTCGACCGTGAAAAGCTAAGGTATACTTCAATTGGCGCGATTGTCGTCGTCGAAGTCTTTAGATCCGGGAGCTCGTGGTTAAAGATCTCGTCCAGTGGCTAGGCAGTAATAAGTAGGGCGACAAAAACACCTCGACCAAGCATAAGTCCGAAGGTGAGGGATTGGAGGTCTAGCATATCAGTATGCTAAGGCCACCGTTTTAGCCGCCATATTTGCATATCTGACCGCGCGTCTTTAACTTCCCTAGGCACTCCCACCCTCTCTTCAGATTTCTCTGCTGTGTTCCATAACCTTTCTTATTTTTTGAACCTAGTAACCCTTTTATACCCCGATATAACCGTCATATCTTTAAATATACCTGCCCGCGCCCCTTCCACTATAGCCGACCATCCTTTCTCTCAGCTAAAGAACCTTATGGACAAAAGGGCCTACTACCACCTAGTCTACATCGACCAAGGAGAAGTGGAAGGAGTATAGAAAGCCCGAGTGTCGGTAAAGACCGGTAGTGATGCCGGGAGCCCTAAACTGGCGGCTGAGGCGTGCGCACTAAAGAAGTCATAAGCAAAGAAGCTCGCCGTCGGCGTAGTGATGTAAAAGATCAACGAGCGTAAGTCGTCTATATCCTAGACCACTTAAGGCGATGGATGGGTAGTAATTAACGCGTCGAGTAGCTTTTATCTCTCTCTTCGATACGGATTCTGGATATTCCTTCGATGGTACGGTTGACGTCGTCGATATCGAACTAAAAATAACGAAGAAGTAAAAAAGAGTGCTAGAACAGGCTGGGGCTTATCTAAAGGCGCTCAAGGAATCCGCGCTTGGAGGATGTATCATCCTCTCGATCGACCTCGAAGTGGCAATTTCCACCTCGGGCGACGAGGTCTTGGAGGTCGGCATTGCTTGGGCACATCTATCCCAGCCGTGCACTTCGGAGCGTTGTTATTATCTAGTCGTCGAGGAAAATGCTCACCTGTACAATGCTGGTCGGTATAACCAGGTGGACAATTTTCTGTTTGGTTGTAGCGAACGCGTCAAGAAGGAGGACGTTACCGGGCGTATACACCGGATTATGCAGCCCCTGCTGGTATAGGCCAACAATGTCTGCCTCGTAGGCTATACCATCGGCAACGATCTTAAATGGCTACGTAACGTCAACGTCGACGTAGGCGAGATATTGGCCGGAGTCGAAATCTGCGACATTGGTCAAGCCTACTAGACAATAAGAGAAGAGACCTAGCTAACTGGCTTAGGCCGTATAATGGCTGCGTACTATCTCCCAAACCAAAACGCCTATAATGCGGGTAACGATGTATACTACGGTATATAGGTATACAGGAAGATAATGGAGACTTTTGAAGCCGTATAGTGTTCAGCCATAGCGAACGACGGTACTGCGGGCTAAATACTTCGACCTTGCTAGGTGTTCGTCGATTATGCGCTCGAGCCTGGATTCTTTATATACGCGTGTAGATCTTATTGGTTTCATTAGATTAGAATAATAAAAGGTAAAGCCTACACTGTATTGTATAGAGTTAGCCTATTAAGTCTAGCTCCCTTTTCCCTTTTCGTGCCTATATCGATGCCAGTCCGATTGACTGCCTCCACGTATATCGTCATTTAGAAGAAGTTGTCCTGAAGATGATGACTAAAATCTACGAAAGAGATCTACATATAAACCCCTAATTAGTGGTTTTGGTTACTATACCGTGGGAGGGATCTACTTGGCAGCCTCGAGTTGATTAGGGTGGTTTCGAGGCTAGAAGGAGATTAAGGAGACTGCTATATCAATATAATAGGGTAGCAAGTAGCAAGGGGAAGTTTATCGAGAGGGGGACGAGTATCGAGGAGTCTACCATATTTATATAACAGGGTAGCAAGTATCAAAATCGACCGTTATAGCAAAGTTAAATAATCTGGTCAATCTCTTAAGAAATGAAGCTACCGAAGAAGGCACTACGATTATATAATTGACATGAATTTATCAAAGCGCCTCCTAATCTTCTAGTACTTTAGATGGACATTTTGACCTACTCCCGAATGCGCTAGTATCTTTACTCCAATTTTTGATTTAGTTATCCTTATCAAAGGTCATTAAATCGATGACGCTATCCGTGACGGTCTCGGCCTTCTCTTGATACTTAGGCTACTTATTGCCTTCAACGGAGGTAGACGATGTAACGGAGGTGGATAATAACGACTCGTATTCCGACTCGCTGCCGCTTTCGAGGAGATCGTTCCGAAATTGAGGTTCTTCATCTAGTAAGGTCTTAGTTAGGTTGTATTGTAGGGTTAAGTCGGAGTTAGGAGTTAATGGACTCACTACTCGGCTCGGAGAGGATGGTATACTAAAGAGTATGCATCGCGGTTAAGGCGACCTTGGCTTTCGCGTACTTCTTGCCCCCACTAGTGGCGGTAAACGTCTAGGTCTGTAGGCGGCTGGTGTAATATGCAACGGTAATAGTCGCTCGATAATATCCACTGCCGACTTCCTTAAACTGGAATTCCATATTCTATAGATAGCGTTTCTGCCGTAGCTAATTCAATTGTAAGACGGGATAGTTAGTGCTAAATACGAGGTATAGTATAATGGAAAGAATCGATTGGAGAAGAGACCGATATATGGTATAATAGGGGTGGACGGGACTATATCTAATAAAAAAGAAAATAGTCTGGTAGTGGTGGTCTCGACATTGCGGTATTGACATATC